AGAGAGAGAAAGAGGAAGAATGTTCCTGAGTACAGTTCATTCATGCAGGAATAAAGGCAGGGGGAATGAAGAGACGACAGATAACACACACACACAAAGTCATGTCACTTACTCTGCCTTTAAGGGAATATGGTATGACTTTACGGTATGACAGTTGGTTTGGTAAATAGTATTTTATTAAAACATTAAAATCCAGTCAAGAGTTCTAAATGAACTTTTATTATGCATTGCATAAACAAATGTTATAATGAATCATGGAACAAACAACAAACAGTAGCCTACTATGACTTAGTGTTTCATTATCATTTCATTATCATGGACTTTTAGTTTGTTTTCACTAGTGTATGACTTTACGGTATGACAGTTGGTTTGGTAAATAGTATTTTATTAAAACATTAAAATCCAGTCAAGAGTTTTAAATGAACTTTTATTATGTATTGCGTAAACAAATGTTATAATGAATCATGGAACAAACAACAAACAGTAGCCTACTATGACTTAGTGTTTCATTATCATTTCATTATCATGGACTTTTAGTTTGTTTTCAGAAGAGACGACAGATAACACACACACACAAAGTCATTGCCCTCTAATGCTAGTGTTGTACTGCTGTATTCTCACTGTTTATGAACAGATTGCCTTGGTTTGGCTCTTATAGACAGATTTTCATCCCGCTAAATTCATCAGCATCCAATCTGATAATCTCAGAGGCTGTTACATCATTTTACCGTGTGTGCGGTGTAATGTTTCAGTGTGTGGTTGATAGCCTACAGCTCTGATACACGCAGTGCCACATAATAATATCTCACATGAGAATAAGCTGCGGATGAAATGGGATGTTTAAGGGTTGTACATGATCCTCATCAGCTGTTCTCTTTTTCTGTTTTAGTGTGATCTGATGCTAGTTGGGACAGGAACACAGCTTTTCCACTGCAGTTTTTCTGACTGATTTGCATAATCCTACTGCCTACTGTTCCCTTTAGAGAGAGAGAAAAAAGCACGTTGCAACATTATTGAGACTGCACAGAGAGACGTTTCTTAACTTCTTAGACAGTTCTTCTTAACTTTTAACTTAATAAATCAAACTCATTTGTTTCCTGATATTAGTGATGAATCGGTTGAACCGAAGTATGAATGATTCACTGACTCGTTTAATTGTCTTTTTCCTAATGAGCCAGGAACTGATGAGTGAGATGATAGTAAAAACATTTGCAGTGAATTAAAGGCAGAGTAAGTGATTTTTCAAAAACACTTTAGAAAACTGATTCGGGCCGAATCGCCCTACTATGACTTAGTGTTTCATTATCATTTCATTATCATGGACTTTTAGTTTGTTTTCACTAGTTTCCTGTCTTTCTTTGTTCAGTTTTCCCGCCAATCTTTAGTTGTCATGGATATTCAGCACAGCATAGGTGCTTTTCAATATTACCCTCATTTGCCATGTTTTTAAGTCGCTATGTTCTCACCTTTCATTTGTCTGGGATTGTGTTGAACACAACTGTCTTGTAGGAAATTATCATTTGTATATTTATCCATGAAACTTATTATAAATTAATGAAGCAGTATCACACAAGCAAGAATGTCTCAGGCAATCACAGCCATCTTGATATTTACAAAAACGGCACAATTGCGACAGATATTGGTTTTATAAAACAGTTCAGTGAGCAAGAGATTGTTTTGAATAACATACGTTCTAGACACTATCGCCAGTAATTTAGTCAGTTTTTGCATTGCTAATTAAAACACTTTCAAGCAAACAATAGCAGAATTAACGACAGCAAAGAGTCACTTAGAAATAAAGTAAGGCCGTTTTGTTGCTTGGATGAATTGAGTGAATCATTCAATGATTCACTTACATAAACAAACACTTTAATCCTGCATGAAACAGAGTGTTTGAACAAAAGGATTAAATGAATAATTTAGTGATTCATACATGAAGGCAGTCACTTGTTGCCACCTACTGATAAAACAATGTGATTCACATGAAATAGTCTTTGAAAGATCCCCATCACTAATGCAAGATTTTCACCCAGTTAAATCACCATATCAAATTACAAACACGTACAAGACACAAGTAATGAATTTACACACATACAGATACATATAGCTTCTGGAGAAGATTCTGTACAGTAGATAAAACTAAAATTGATGGTGGAGCGATAATTCAAAACCTTAAAGGCTGTGTGTATTTGTATGTAATTGCACGCACACACACACACACACACACACACACACGTACGTTTGTTTCTGTGAATTGTGGGGGCTTTCCATAGACTTCTATTTCTTTTATACTGACCAGATGATATTTTCAATCCCCAACCCAACCCTAACCCTAAACCTACCCCTTACATTTTTTGCATTGTTACACTTTCAGATAAACATCATTTACTATTTTTAATAATTTTTTCCCCTCGTGGGGACCGCAGGCCGGTTCCCACAATGTCAAAAAATTACAAGTTTTACTATCCTTGTGGGGACATTTGGTCCCCACAATGTAGCATAAACAAGTACACACACACATGTGTTTATGTTGGGTAATTCAGTGCCCTGTACACTTGAACAACAGTAATGGAGTTTAGATTTCAGATCAGCGGAGAACTCTCGCATTTACCCACAGTGTGTTGTGACACTGAGATAACAACTGCCATGATGTGTATCAAATGCAGTTGCTTTATACAAATCAAACAGATTTTACTCGTTCTGCTGACAACATAACATTTTTTTCTCTTTAAGTGCGCAAAAGAGATTTTTTTACAGCCTGGCTGCCTCTGAGACAGAGAGAGAGAGAGGAAAAGTGCCTGGAGATATAGGGGTGAAATCTTGGAGCTGATTATGCATGAGTGTTTCTGTGTAGAGAATTACCAAGCCATCATCTCAAGTTGCTGTCATGGGCTTGTATATGTGAAAGTCAGCAGGAAGCAATACTATAATGCATCTCGTCTTTACTCGAGCATGGAAGCCATGGTTACTCAAGCACAGCTTCTCTATAGCTCTGTGACCTTGTACATTGCCACTTCCTTCCTATATGAGCACAATTGAACCGTGGGATCCAGTTAATTTCAGATCTGATTTGGAGCTGGTTTAAAAGAGACTTTCTCTTTTAAATTCTGTATATTTCATTAAAGGGGTGGTTGATTATGATTTCACCTTTTGAACTTTAGCCAGTGTGTAATGTTGCTGTTAGAGCATAAACAACGTCTGCAAAGTTACGACGCTCAGAGTTCAATGCAAAGGGAGATATTTTCTTTTAATGAAATCGCTGTTTAAGGACTACAAAAAAACGGCTAGTAGGGACTACAACGAGCTTCTTCCTGGGTTTGTGACATCACTAACCCCGATGTTTACATAAACCCCGCCCCCGGGAACATTCAGCTACCCCTAATGGTAAGGGGGCGTGACGTTTCCGGACAACGTGCACTAAGCGGATAGTGAATCACAAACACACTGAGCCCGCTAACCAATCAGAGCCCATTACGTATTTCTGAGGGAGGGGCTTCATAGAACCAGGAACTCAACAGACCGTTTTGACGAGAATGGAAACAGCGGTGTAGAATAAAGGTAAAATATGTGAAAATAATGCGTTTTTTTTTTTTAAATGAAGCATGAACACATGTTACACTGCACCCCATAAACACAATCAAGCTTTGGAAAAAAGCTGATCAACCACCCCTTTAAATTAACAGTCACAACTGAATGTTTAGAGCGAGTTTGGATGAGGTATGCTGTTTGTATGGCATTGTAGTCAATATCTAGTTGTCTGTCATTATTATATATATAGCATAAATTCTTTGTGTGTGTGTGTGTGTGTGTTTAACTCCTGTTCAAGAGAACTGCCCTCAAATATTTTTCACCAATAACAAAAGGATCATTTAAATAGTAGTTTGATATATTTTATTAATAAATTATTTGTATAAAGGATTTGCATAAATGTGTTTGCTGGCTGGAAGCAACATTCTGTGACAAAGAAATGGATATGAATGCAGTGAATATAATGAATCATTTATTATACACAACTGTTCAAAAGTTTGGGGTCTGAAAGATTTTTTTTTATTAATACTTTTATTCAGCAAGGATGTATTAAACTGATCAAAAGTCACAGTAAATATTATTTACAATGTTACAGAAGTCTCTATTTCAAATAAATGCTGTTCTTTTAAACTTTCTATTTTTATATTTCTACTTCCTATTAAAAAAATGTCAAAAATGTGTCATAATTTCCATACACAGCAGCACAACTGTTTTCAACACTGACAATAACAATAAATGTTTTCTGATCACCAAATGAGCATATCAGAATGATTTCTGAAGGATCATGTGAGACTGAATTCTGGAGTAATGATGCTGAAAATTCAGCTTTGCCACCACAGGAATAAATTACTTTTTAAAATATATTCAAAATAGAAAACAGTTATTTTAAAATGTATATATATATATATATATATTATAAAATTACAGTGTTTATTGTATTTCTGAGCAAATAAATGTAGCTTTGGTGAGCATAAGAGACATATTTAAAAAACATTAAGAAACCTCAATTTATTTTATGTGCTATTAATACTAATAAGGGTTGCACATTATTTTACAGTACATGTACTTACAGTGTACCTACCTAAGAAAGTTCTGGTAACTACATGGGGTAGGGGTAGGGTTAGGTTTAGGGGTAGGTTCAGGGTTAGTACCTAATTATTACCTATTTATTGTAATTACTACATAGAGGAATAAAGTGCTACCCTAATAAGGCCTATCAACTTCTCTCAAAAAATAGGGGTATTGTGTCTATCCTAGCAACCTTTTGTTTCCAAACTGAGGTGAAGCAGTCGGAAAAACAGGGCAAACCCAAATGCGATGCAGCGTTATATCTCGACACCCCTGTCCACAGCTGACTGTGGAGTGGAAGCCAGCATGTGACTGTTTGATGTTAATCCAGAATGTTTCGGATGTTATGTAACTGTTGTCCTCCTGTAGCTTATCCTGCATCTACTCCATCTCTCTTTCTGCAGTTGGTCAGCGGGGGCTCTGTAGTGAATGCCGAGGCAGTATGGGACCATGTGACCATGGCTGACCGGGAGCTGGCCTTCAAGGCTGGCGATGTCATCAAGGTGTTGGACGCCTCGAATAAGGACTGGTGGTGGGGTCAAATCGACGAGGAGGAGGGCTGGTTTCCCGCCAGCTTCGTCAGGGTGAGCCCATCTCTGACATATACCTGTCTGATGGCCACCTGTCTAAGACACACCTGCAGAACCACATCTGTTTAACACAGCTGTTTTCATATCCAATACCGTTTCTAACTCAATAGAAGTCAGATAGAGCTGTTTTAAAGAGATGCAACATACACGCCTGTCGAGAAATGAACAATATGACACATTTTCAGGTAAATGATTCAATATTAAAGACATACAGTCACAGCCCAGTCAGAAGTGGTCACATTCTTCCCTTTAACCTCCATCTTGAACCCAAACTCTTGTTTGTGTTGCTGTTGTTGTTTCTCTAAGGTGGAGTCCCACCCCCCTCAAACCAAACAGCTTTTTTATATCAACCCTGTCGCTGCATCACGCCTCACAAACGCCACGGCTAAGGTGCGTTTTTTTCAAAACCACTGCTTACCGTTTGACCGTTGAATGCATCCCATCGCTTACTGCTCACATGCTGTCGCTGTGTTCCAACGTTTCGTTTTCCGCCACAGTCGCCGCGCTTCGCTTCCATGGCAACTTATCTTCATGCCTGGGTCTGGCAGAAAACACTGAAATGGGAAAAAGATTTTGTTAATGTTATGCTGACTCAGTTACGACATTTAACCATGACTACTACTATCAATATTTCTCTCTTTTCTGACAGTGTCTTGTTTTTTTCTTTTTTACTGGGACTTGAGCAGATGTTGGTCTTAATTTGAGTCTCTCTGACTGCTAAGGATCTATTTTTAATCACATTTATATATATATACTGTATATATAAAGAGAGCTACAGAGGCTGAAAACTCAAAAATAGATTTTCAGACAGAAGTTTAAACATAAACAATTTTATCAGTCCCTTCAGTCATTCTTCCAGCATCTCTTCAAATTGTGTCAGGGGTCTCAGTGGGGTCCCTTTGCAAACACTTCCTCTAACTCAACCTTTTCTCTCGCTATAGTGAGCCCCCTCCAACCTCTTGTATATTATATAAACCTGAGAAAAGCCTGTTGTATTTCAAGTGTTCATTTATTAGGGATAATGTAAAACCCAGATCTAATATCATGAGTAAAGTTTGTTGAAATGTTATGAATAAAACTAAAGGAGGCGATATGATCATGTTGCACAGTAAAACTGAAATCTTAATCGTGTGCAAGCACAGTCAGGCTTGATCATTTGCATATACATGCAGATTCGCCGCTAGCCACCCGGGGGGTGATATCCCTGCACATAACTAAAGATTAACCCTCTATTGCACGACATTCCCTCTGGGTAACAAACCCGTTCTCTTCACATTGCAAGCACATGATAGCAATAAAATTGACATAAATGCAATTTTCCCATTACATTTTTATGATTTAACTTATATGACTTGAGTGTATAAATAACTTATATGAGTTATCATATTGTTTTATTTCAATTGTGTCTTTTTGTACTATCATTTCATATTATAAATGATAAATTACATATTATATAGATTGTATACACTACCATTCAGAAGTCTGGAGCTTTTGGATTCAATTTTTTGGAAAGAAATTATTACTTTTATTAAAGGGGTGGTTCACTGGGTTTTTTCTAGGCTTGATTGTGTTTATGGGGTGCAGTCTAACATGTGTTAACGCTTCGTTTTTAAAAAAATGCATTATTTTTCACATAATTTACCTTTATTCCACACCTCTCTGTCCCTTCTCTGAGAAACGGGCTGATCATTTCCTGTTTTTATGAAGCCCAAACAGGAATTTTCGTGCCATTTTATGCAAGTCAGTTTTTGTGTTACATTCTTTCATAATGCATGCAATAGAGTGTTAATAACGCTCTCGTATCCTTAATGATGCATCTGGATTGTAAATCCACTGCAGTTGTCGCCAAAATCTCAGACAGAGATTGTGAGATCCATCGGTTTGCTTTCTCTAAGAAATCCCAATATGAAATATGAACATAAACCCTTTTAGTGGGGATCATGGGTGAAAGGATAAAAGGAGGTGTAGGATAGAGATGTGCTTATGAAAGAGGAGTGCGTTCGTAAAGGTGGAGCGCTCTTTAATGGGACTTTTATGTAACTTGGTCTTAACTTTGGCTACATGCGTCGAGCTTCCTAAGTGCATTTCTCAGTTCCCCTTTTGCTTTCTTCCTATCTTTCTCTTTCCTCTCTTTTCTAACAGTCATCTATCCCCCCTTCCTCCCCAAACACACACTCGCACAGATGGCAGGTTGTGTAAGCCACTCTCTCGGGCATGACAGGTGTGAGAAAATCTCTTCGCTGTACAGAGAATATCACCTGTGTCCACACAGACAGATAGATACATATTTAATACAAACACACACACTATATCAATCTGTACAGCACGGTCTTTATTCTGACCCTTTGAGCATCTCTTATGCAACACTGAGAAAGGACAAGGAGAAACAGACAGGAAGAGAATGAGTGTGAGAGAGATGGATATGTCACACCAGTTGGTGGCGCTGGCCTGCAGGTTTGGCGTCTCTCTCTCCTGCTGAGACCTGGAGCTCTCGTGTCATCAGAAATCATTGCTCACTGTTTACTCACAGTCCACACGCACAACACTAACTGTGCCCGCGCACGAGAATCAGCAGCGTACGGCGGAGCTAATAGCGTTTTAATTATGAAACCTTACATATATGAAGACAAACTCAGCTTAAATGTGAGGTAGGCATTTTATTATTTAAAAAAAAATTGTCGTTTATCCCAGTTGCAATGTGTAATTTCTGCACCATTAGCAGCACAAAATGCAATACCTAAATAATGCAGTCAAATTTTGCACTTACAATTCTTTTTCTTTATTTAACAGTCTGACAAATAAACTTTTTGCAACTTGTAAATTGTTTGCAGGACTACACATTTGTTGTTTAATTAATATATATATATATATATATATATATATATATTCTATTTGGTGCTGCAAGTAACACAAAAGCTACACACTTTCACTTTTAATTTGGAGTTTAACATGACAAAATACAAATATTACACATTATTACTATTGGAATAAAATGTATGCTCAGTGCCATGTGGAGTTTCAGATTTCAAAAGCTTGAAGTTAATATCTAGAATATTAACATATTAAAATTAAATCATTAAAAAATAAATGTAAAATAATCATTTTAATAAATATAAATAAATATAAATAGTTATATATATGCAGTGGCAAAGTTTAACATGACAACATTCAAATATTTAAAATTATTGTTATCCAAATGGCAATGTATGCATTTTGTCACACATTTTTACACTTTCATTTACTGTCCCATGTGACATTTACTGGATCACCAAAGCTTGATGTTAATATTATATAGAATATTTGAAAATCAATTAATTTAATAAAGAAAAAATTATATAAAACAATAATCATTTTAAATAATTATAATTAAAAATAATTGGTCAAAAAATTATGTAAAAAATGTCATGTATTTTTGCAGTGGCAGAGTCGACAACAAACTGAAACCAAAGAATCCAATTTGTGGTACATCACGAATGAACCCTGTTTGCAAACAAATTAATTCAGGTAACATTTTTATATAGTTTGAACAGTCGCATATTGTAAACTATTGAAATGGTACATCTGAGACTGAATATAATCATTCTAAGTACAAAACTAAAAGAGATTGATAAATGTTGTATTAATGTCACTTACAAGGGTTCGTTTTTGGTTTTGGTGTAAGATGCTGACACCTTTACACTGTATCCTCTGTTCTGCTGTGTCTTGTGTTTCTCTTCACTGTTCAGTGAGGTTGAGTCATGAAGCATAAAATGAGACGTCACTTTTCATTAGAGGACAGGAGAGAAGAACAGACAAAAAAAACCCAGATTGCTCTGGGAGGAGAGGGTGAGAGAGAAAGAGAGAGAGAGGCTAAAATAGATTGGACACTGAGAGGAAGGAAAGAGAAGACTGAAGTTTGTATGTGTGTGTATGTGTGCGCAGGTGTGTGTGTGTGACATCTGCGTCATCGGTGTTCTTCTGATTCCTCTATTTCTTGAAACAGACAACCGTAGCAACACACACGTTGTGTATCCGGGCAGCAGGATCACTAAACTAAGCCTTCTCTTGACGAGGATGAGGACGGACAGCTAGCAAGGCTAATGCACTGGAAAGTTGCGCTGAGGCAGAGATTTCTAGGTATACAAGTATAATTTGAGATCTTAATCCGAGAAACATCCTTCAAGAGATTAGACATCGTATCTATGACTCTGTGTAGAAACAGAGTGTGTGAGACAGAAAGAGAGAGCGAGAGGGGGATTTATGCAGGACATGGTTTCAGGGTGAACAGAGTCTGTGACAGGCTTGTGTATTTATGAAAATCTATTTTTAATTGTGAGTCCATATCAGGTCAGCAGTGTTGTGTGTGGGTAAGATTTTGCTATCGCAATGTCCTTACAAGGATAACAAAACCTGAAATTACCTACACTGTGGGGACCAGCCAGCAGTTTCCATGAAGAATACGGCTTAAAGGGACAGTTTAGCCGAAATTAAAGTTCTGTTATTATTTACTCATTTTCATGTCATTCCAAACATGCATGCTGTTTTTTCCCCATAAAAATAGTGGAACACTATGGAAGCCCGTTTCCGCCACTGAATAACAAATTAAAAAAGGTAATTGCGACATTTTATCTCACAATTCTGACCTTTTTTTCTAAGAGCTGCATGATACAAACTCGCAATTCTGACTTTTTTCTCAGAATTGTGAGATATAAACTCACAATTGCGAGTAACAAAGTCAGAATTACTTGATAGAAAGTTTATATCTCACAATTCTGACTTAACTCGCAATTGTGAGTTTATATCACGCAATTCTGAGAAAAAAATCAGAATCGCGAGTTTATATCTCGCAATTCTGACTTTAGAACTGGCAACTTTCTAAGAATTGCATGATATAAACTCGCAATTCTGAGAAAATGTCAGTCTTTTTTCCCCTCAGAAGTGGACTTTATAACTCGCAATTGCAAGTTTATATCTCACAATTCTGAGAAAAAAGTCAGAATTGCAAGATATAAACTTGCAATTGCGAGAAAAAAAGTCAGAATTGTGAGATACAAACGCGATTATGAGAAAAAAAGTCAGAATTGCCCGTTTATATCTCGCAATTCTGACTTAATTACTCACAAGTACGAGTTTATATCTCATAATTCAAAAAAAAAAAAAAAAAAAAGGGGTTCACAAAAGAAAGTCATACAGGTTTGTAACAACATGAAAGTGAATAAATGAGGACTGAATTTTCATTTTTGTGTGACCTATCCTTTAATAAAGTGATTAAAATAGTGCTGTTATTAGGCTACTGATATGACTGGAGTCTTCATCTCATTTAAGTGTATTTTACATATTTTTCAAAAGTATTATTCTTTTCATAAAGGGACAGTTCACCAAAAAATTTAAATCCTGTCATCATTTACGCATTTTGTTCCAAACCTGTATGTCTTTTTTCTTTTGCGGAACACAAAAGAAGATATTTTGTCAAGTGTTATTTGGAAGTCAGAGGTAACCGAAATATTTTTTAAGACTTTTTCTTTCATATTTCACAGAAGAAAATAAGTCATAAAGGTTTGGAACAACATGTATGAGTGAATTATAACAGAATTTTAATTTTTGTATCAACTGTTCCTTTAAGTTTGACCTTTTGTACACCTTTTGTTTCTGTGATTTCGGAGTAGTGTATAGCTCAGTATAAAAAATGTGTACATATTCGTGGGTTTTTGTGTGAGAAAGAGAGTTTGCAAGTGTGCTCGCATGTGTGTTCACATCAGTTGGCTCACCTGGGAAAGCAAATGATAGGTTATATAATCAGGGCAAATAAAATCACATCAGATCCTCTCAACCAAACACACATATACTGGGTTCCTATAACTGTGCGCTTCTGTATCGCCCTCCTTCTCTACCCTTCTCCTGGCTTATGTGTGTGTATCTTGGCAGCTCTGTGACAGGCCCAAATACAGATTCCTTTATGTCCTTGTGAAAACAGATTTTGTAAGTGTTTACTGCAATGCCTCTAATGTGGAAAAATGCAATCGGTACTGGTGCCACCAGAGGGCACACTCTGACTCCTTTTATTTCACGTCAATGTAACTTTAACCCCTGAAGCTTTAAAAGCCCTATCTAGACCTTTTATGAAAGCAATCACGGATGCTCTGAGCTCATGATTACTTTAATTGATAATAACAGGGCTTGAAGATCAAGTCATGTCTCTCTTAATGTGTGTGTTCTAGTTATGGGTAAATCAGGAGGAAAACACAGTGGTCGAGGCTGCCGAAAGCTCCAGCGAGGTGCAGAATGGCCATGCAGAGGCCAGTCCGAACCCCAGCACTGACTGCCTGTGTCTGGGCCAGCCCACGCAGAACCGGGACCAGATGAGGGCCAATGTCATCAATGAGATCATGAGCACAGAAAGACATTACATCAAACACCTGAAGGACATCTGTGAGGTAAAAACACATGCCAGCCCTTTCAAAGCTCGGGAGACTTCATTGAGCTCTCTTTTAACCATCCCATTTGTTTGTCTCAGATGGTTTCCCTAAAATTCCTGAGGAGAAATATACATAAACACAACTGAGACAAAAAGTTTATGTGAATAGGATGGCTCAGATTGTTTGTTCTTGTGAGAATCAGATGAGACATATTTGAATTTATATTGAAATCTTTTAAAGGGGTCATATGATGCTTTTTTAAAGATCATTATTTTGTGTATTTGGTGTAACAGAATATGTTGACATGCTTTAATGTTCAAAAAACACATTATTTTTCAAATACTGTACATTATTGTAGGTCCTCTATGCCCCGCCTCTCTCAAACACTTCGTTTTCTACAAAGTCCCTCCGCTCGTCATCTTGCTAAATGTGAGCATAGTATGTGACATTGCTGAAATCTCATAGGGAACTCCATAGAAAACACATGTGAGATTACTATGGTCTTTTCTCTAAAAAAAAGTCTCCATTTGCTCTAAATCTATGTCCAAAACTGTATGTCGACATATTGCACGACATGTTTAAAACTTACACTACCATTCAAATATTTGGTGTCAGTAAATATGTTTTTGAAAGAATTGAATGCTTTTATTCGAAAAGGATGCATTAATTGATCAAAGGTGACTGTAAAGACATTTAAATTGTTGCAAAAAAATCTGTATTCTAATCTATATTATAAAACGGATAGTTCCGGTCCTTGATTCTGATTGGTTGAGCTGCGTTCGAAGCTGTTGTAAATTACACTACAAACATACACCTTTGTTTACTTCTGTGTGTTGCTCGGCAACCACTTTGTTGGAACCACAACTGTTTCTGATAAGCCCCGTGAAGCCGTGGTTCACAGTGAATTTATACCAGCTAAGGGGGTTTAAGCTTCTAACAACGCCCCTTAGCTGTTATAAATTCACTGTAAACCACGGCTTCACGGGGCTTATTGCTTTTATAAGGATGCGCTAACTCCAGGTGCATCGTGCAGACAATGTCGCTCGGGTCCACAAAATATATGACTGTGTAAACGACACATTTTAAACTGACATATCTGGTTTCCACTTATCATTTTGACATCCCTCACTTTCACTCTTCCGTTTCGCTCATTCTTTTCTCTTTCTTCCCCAGTGATTATCGGTACGTAGCTGCGGCGCTAGCTGTAATGAGAAATGTCACTCAGCAAATCAACGAACGCAAACGAAGGCTTGAGAACATTGACAAAATTGCCCAATGGCAGGCCTCTGTACTGGATTGGGAGGTGTGTGGCTAAAGCTTTTCAGACAAAATAATTAGTAGGATATAAACGAGAGCAATGGAATAGCTAAACAGGAAAAAAATCTATAAATAATAATAGTAAATGATTAAATAAGTAGCACAACTGTGTGTATATGTTTTTGAAAGAAGTCTCTTATGCCAATATGCTGATTTGATGCTCAATTATTATCAATTATTATTGTTGCTCAGGTATTAATAATGGTTCTTATTATTTTCAATTTTGGAAGCAGTGTTGGGTGCTTGATATTTTTGTGGAAAGGATTCTTTCTCTGATTCTTTGATGAATAGAAAGTTGAAAAGAACAGCATTTAAAAAAAACAAAACTTTTGAGCAATTTAATCCATTCTTGCTAATAAAAGTATTAATTATTATTATTATAAAAAAAAATCAGACTTACCCTACATTGTAAAATGTTAGTATCACAGGTTTCCAGAAAAATATTGCGCAGCAAAAACATTCAACATTGATAATAATAAGTAACGTTCCTTGAGCACCAAATCAGCATATTAGAATGATTTCTAATGACTTAAGAATAATTGATTCTGAAAATGACATTAAGTAGAAAATTACATATCACAATATTTAGAGAAATTGTAATAATAATGACATAATATTACTGTTTTACTGTATTTTATATCAGACGAATGCTGCCTTGGTTAGCATAAGAGACTTTCAGAAACATAAAAAAAATCCTAACTTATTCTAACCCATTAGTGTATTTAATATTCACTCACTCTGATGTTATTTCCTTTTACAAAAGGAGAATTTTTCTATACAAGTTCCAATCAGTGATGCATGTTATTTACATGCAACCTGCACCACAGACTCCATTTGATTTGAGAGCTGCATACTAAGACCTGAACGCATCAGAGCCTCAGTGGTGTCAGATGTAGTGATTAATTTGTTATTGTGTGTGCAGGGCGAGGATATTCTGAACAGGAGCTCAGAGCTTGTGTACACTGGGGAGATGTCCTGGATATATCAACCATACGGGCGCAGCCAAACCAGAATCTTCTTCCTATTCGATCATCAGATGGTCCTCTGCAAGAAGGTGAGGAAAGAAAGAGGGGATGAAGGCAATAATACCACTGGAAACTCATTTTTTGATAAAGTAAGATTCCGCTGGAAATAAAGTGTAGCGAACAGGTGAAAAATGAAGGGATGCAGACAGATAGATAGATAGATAGATATACTGTTTTTCATTTTTGAGGAGTAGGGATTGATCTTTGCACATTTGCTTTCACTTTGAAAGCAAAGATGCAGAACCGAACCAGACAGGCACACAGAAGCAAATAACTGATTAAATTCTGGTAGTGTAGCACAACTGAGAGTTTGTGATTTGGATTCCATCTGGAGGTAGAAGCTTTTTTGTGTTTTAACTGTCCTCCAAACACCCTTAATCTTAATGGGCACATGGCCCATTTTTAGTCTTTCCACAAAGGTGCAAAAACAGATTTCTTCAGCCCCATCTGACGTACACAGACAGTTCAACAACACAAAAACAGAGACAATCAGAACTTGTTTCTCACAAGACATATATGACTCTGGACCGCAAAACCAGTCATAAGTCGCATGGGTATATTTGTAGCAATACCCAAAAATACATTGTATGGGTCAAAATTATCGATTTTTCTTTTATGAAAAAAATAATTAGAATATTAAGTAAAGATCATGTTCCATGAAGATATTTAGTAAATTTCCTATCGTAAAGTCAGCCGCACCACACGGATTTTCGTTTTCATTCAAATCAAAACGTAAATAAAAAGAAAACGTATCCGCGTAGTGCGGCTGACACAGAACAGCATACGCTGTTTACGTTCAGAGCTCTCAGAATGCATCAAAAATATCTTGAATTTGTGTTCCGAAGATGAACAGAGGTCTTATGGGTTTGGAACGACATGAGGGTGAGTAGTTAACGACAGAATTTTAATTTTTGGGTGAACTATCCCTTTAATTTTTGATTAGTAATATGCATTGCTAAGAACTTCATTTGGATGCTTTAAATGCGATTTTCTCAGTATTTTGATTGGATGGAAAATATTTTTTATTATACACAACAATCAAAAATGTAGGGCCAGTAAGATTTTTTTAAATGTTTTTTTAAAGAAGTCTCTTATGCTTAAGGTTGCATTTATTTGATCAGAAATACTGTAAAAACTGTAATATTGTGAAATGTTATTACAATTAAAAAAAAAAAACTTTTTTCTGATTGTAATATATTTTAAAATGTAATTTATTCATGTGATGGCAAAGCTGAATTTTCAGAAGCCATTCAGTCTTCAGTGTCACATCATTCTGATATGCTGATTTGGTGCTCAATAATAAATAAATTCTTATTATTGTCAATGTTGCTAACAGCTGTGCTGTGTAATATATTTGTGGAAACCATGATACACCTTTTCTTTGATGAATAGAAAGTTCAAAAGAACAGCGTTTATTTGAAATAAAAGTCTTTTGTAATTGTAATTATAAATGTCTTTACCATCACTTTCGATCAACTTAATGCATCTGTGCTGACCAATTGTATTAATTTCTTTCTTTAGAAAAATCTTTCTGGCCCCAAACCTTTGCACAATATATACAGTATATAGAATATAAAATTAGAAAATATTGTGTATTATATCTTTTGATCATGGTCAGTCAGAGTAGCTGTCACACGGAATACAACCTCCTGGTGTAGCAAATACCTTGATGTGTGAGGAGAGGAAAGGAGGTGGAGGACGAGAATGATGTATTGGATGTTTCATGCTGGAACAGAATAATCAACCAATCCAGTTTCATTCTATCAGTAATCTGTCTGGATTACAGACATACCCATAAAGTCTCTCCGCCTTCCACAGGATCTCATTCGCCGTGATATTCTCTACTATAAGGGTCGGATTGACATGGATCCATACGAGGTCATTGATGCAATCGATGGCAGAGATGATGATTTTAACGTTAGCGTGAAGAACGCCTTCAAACTGGCCAACAGAGACACAGACGAGATCCATCTGTTCCTGCCCAAAAAGCTGGAGGAGAAAATCCGTTGGCTTCGGGCGTTTCAAGAGGAAAGAAAGATGATTCAGGAAGATGAGAAGATTGGTGAGTTTAGACATTATTTCTCAAGTCGTTTCAAATTTCTATGCTGTGATTTTATTTACACTGAGCACAAAAGAAGTGTTTATTTAGGCCAGTTTTTTCAAGACATTGACCATACAAGTTCATACTTCACAGTGATTTAAACTTTGTTCTGTTCTTCACACAAAGCTATCAAACTTTCACACTTGATATTGTTTTTTTTTGTCCCTTTAGGCTTTGAAATCTCTGACTATCAGAAGAGACAAGCTGCCTTGACCGTTAGGAGAGTCACCAAACAGAAAGGTATGAAATCTTGAAGCCTGTTCTTAAAGTAGGGCTGTGTGTATGTTCCTCATGGAATTTAGATGTTCTTAGAAGTTGTTGTGTCTCACTGCTTTAGGCAGAAAGATATTTTTGAATAACATAATTTCCATGCTAATGGCCAATAAATTAATCTGTGTTCTATTGTATTGCTGTTACCATGGTGAAAAAGTGCCTGCTAAGAAAATATAAGTAAATTGATACAAATTGGAATTGCAGTAAATGGTGGTTTTGTCTGGCAGTAAATAAAAATAAGTGCATCACTAATAAGTGATGCTGCAGTAATAAGTGATGTTAAACATACACTGTAAAAAAAATTCCGTAAAATTTATGGTAAAAAACAGCAGCTGTGTTTGCCGGAATTTTACCGTAAAAACGCAAAGAAAGAAGGTGTGGTTTCAGGAACAGCAGTCGTGTTGATGCAGCCATGTCAGGGAGACGCTGTGTTTCAGTGCGAAAGCAAAAGCACTTTATTTGGCCTTCCGGAAGTAGATGCAATTAGGAATCATTGGTTAAGATTTATTTATTCATTTAACAACATTAGGTGTAACACACAACCCTAATATACAAAACTGATAAGAAAAAACTAAGAAGAAACATAGTTATTTCAACAAAAAAACATCAAATTTGAAATGTAACGCAGGGGATTCTGTGAATGTCAATTTACGGTTATTTACTGTAAATTATATAGTCTTTTTCACTTCCAAAAACGGTATACTACCGTAAAATTACATGTAATGTCCAATGCAGTTTTTCACCGTATATAGTAGGGGAATTTACTGTTAACCATTTAACAGGTTTTTACTGTAGCATTTTTACAGTCTTTTACCATTAAATTCACTGTCATTTTTTACAGTGTAGAAAACCTTTGCGTTTATGCATTAATCTTTGCGTATTCCCTTGCGTTCGTCTTCTCAGGTGTGGGCCGGTCAGGCCCCCCAGCGTACCCACCTCCACTGGACCCCATGAACCCCGGGCAGTACCTTCTCCCCGACGGATACGGGCAGGCGGACGGATACGAATACGAGCCCAAACGCAGCACATCTCCCTTCTGGCAGAACTTCAGTCGGTTAGCTCCCTTTAAAAAATAGAACACACATCCACCAGGGGTCGGATACACCAGCCTCTGTATACTTGGAAAAGCACTATTCTACTTAAGATACATCAGCGGGACTTGAGGAGGACCGACACACACACACAAACTACAGGAGAGAGGACGGACCTCGCTTTACTGGGGTTTACCAGGCGTATTTCTTTTACTGGGGTTACGGGGACACCTCGCTGAGCTGGCTGCACTGAATACTGTACACAACATGTTGTAATTCACAGAAGAAGAAAAATCACGCAAACGCACACACAAAACATACATTTTATCCCTCAGCACTCTCTTTGTAGAGAGGTTTTAAATTATGAAACACAGTTTCTTATTCTCTAAGCACTAAACCAACGTAATGACTCTTGCTCTCTAGCGCCGCCCTGGTGTTCCTCCGTGCACTGTGACTATTCGGGGCATTCTCTCTCACCCAATCTCTCTTTTTCTCTCTCAATCTCATACTCCACATTATCACGTGTTTTTCCAACAGTTTCAAGTCTGTTCAAAGCTGAAGATTTTTTGTTTTCCTGGACAATCTCTCCTTGAATGGAACCTGCTGCACTCTTTAGTTTGTTTTGCATGTGATTCAGTTCATTGCAGGTATTTTTATTTGTGTAACTCTATTCCTACGGGTCTCAAAGAACAGTGGATCACGATCTGCAAATTTGTCACACTGGTTGCTTACACCGATCATGGTATACTGGAAATACGGATATTGGAACAACTTTGACATTCATAGAGACCTCCAGTCAGTCCAGCTAAAAGTCATTTCGGTTTGCTGGAGCTTTTAGGCACCCTGATAAAAACACAGACCAGAGAAACCTAAAGGAGGAACTGTTTTGCTCTGAACAGTGGACCTCTGTAGCGTGTTTACGTCAGAGCCTTGTTTATCCTGAGGTCTCGGTCTCGGCTTCACCATTGTTTCCTCTCTCCCGTCATAAGTGCAATCCGAGAGAAGACCAGAAAACCTAAAAAAAAAATGTAATAATGTCACCTCTGAGCCCTGTCTTGATTTTATGGGGAATGATACCTGGACCAGGACGACTTTAATCCTGCTGATCAACCTCGTAATGACGTGCCAATTCATCTCTAACATGCCAAAATAGTCTGGTTGCCAAATTTTCCTCTAACAGGTGCATTGGCATGTGCGAATGCCAACCCCATGAGCTGGTACCCCGCCATGTGACTTCTCAGGCGAAAATTAAGTCAGTGAAATTTGGTTATCGCTGCTAGGATTAGCATGACATAGCGTTTCAGTTTTTAATTTTGTCTTTTTTTTTGGGATTGTTTTTGGTTCTCTCTCTCTATATATATACAGTATATATATTTATATTTATTTTTTCCCCAAATTAAAGGGACTTGTGCAAAATTTAATTTATGGTATATTCGCGTTTTGTCTGATAACTTTCAAAGGATAGTATTTAGTCCAATCACAATATTTAAAGTATTGCTATAAAACATTATTTATTCTATTATAGTGTGATTTTCTTTTTCCATCTTGATCCTCTTTCTATATTTTAGAGCTTCTGCTGGAGTGTTAAAGACCGTTGTAGGGCATAAAAAAAATGTAAGAGGACAGTATGGAAGAAATATGTCACACATGTGTATTAAGTGCCACATGAGACTATTATTATGTTACAAAGGAAAATATCAGTTTAATATTTTTTGATTCGGTGATCTGATTGAAATAACATTATATCATTATTTCATAATAAACTTCATTATGGAGAAAACAGAGTTGAAATTATGTTTCCTCTGGTCTTATTCATTTTATCATCTGTTTGCTAAACACAGTGATGTTGGTTTCATTTTGAACTTTTTAGAAGGTAATTCAAATGAACTACATCATAAATGGGTAAATAGCTTATTGAATTCCCAAAGATGAATTCAAATATAATATAACAGATGTACTCTACCATTTAAAAGATTGAAAAAATTATCGAAAATGAGAGTAAAGACATTTACAAGAAATTTTTATTAAAAAAATTCCACAAAAATATTTTAAAAATTATTTTCAACATTGATAATAATGAATAATAATAATAATGTGTTTCTTGAGCACCATATCAGCACATTAGAATGATTTCTGAAGGATCATGTGACACTGAAGAGTGGAGTAATGGATGCTGAAAAATCAGCTTTAACATTACAGGAATAGATTACATTTTTTAATATATCTAAATAGAACATATGCTTTTAATTATTATATTTTAAATTATAATATTTGACAATATTGCTGTTTTTCACAAAACTTCTTTCAAAACAAAACAATTGTGTAGGTGCAAATTTAATATTTAAAAAGAACAGATCAAAGAAGAGTCTTTGAGGGTTTTTTGTTTTCAGTTTATTGAGCTGAATTGTTTTAAAGTGATTTAATGCGTTCAATATGCATCACAATAATTTACCTGCTGCCGGATAAACATCCATTGATTCACACAGGTTAGTAAGGTCTCTGAATTTCAGCAAAACATGCAGACACTCTCTCTCTCTCTCTCTTTCAATCACTCGTTCTTTCTCTCTCTCACTCACGTATTACATTTCTTCGTGAAACATAAAGCATACGCTGAAGAATATCAAGATTGGCAGGAAACTGTTGATGTCACAGTGCTAGTTTCCCATGAGATTTTTGTGCTCTTGTCAGTACAGCAAAATCTGACCACCATAAAAGAACAGTGTCATAAGCACAGCATGACATGGCAGTAAAAATCTACACCCCAATACAGAAATACATTCGTAATGCCTTATAATCGTGAAAGGTCGATGGGAAAAATACATTCCGATAAATATTGACAGACCTTCATATCCCTGTTAGGTCAATAATTTGACAGTAGTCTAACATATTCAACAATCAATATTCACTCAGGATTCAATCCTAAAAAAGCAAAGTCAGATTTCCCCATTCAATTTCTTCATAGTTTTGTTCTAGCATCCAATCACAATGTGTGGTTCCAGTGGCTTCCAGTGGTCCGACTCCCATCAAACAAATTGTAGTATAAACATGATCTCGAAGGTGTGCAAGAAACACATTCATTGGTGTAATTGTTTTTTGTGACACTCTTCAGTGATTGTACACGTCATAAATATGTAACATTCATAATATTTTAAAGACTTTGTGACACCTTTGAAAACATTATTTCAGAATTCACAAGTAGGCAATGTGACATTGGAGTCTCAAACATCAGCGATGTAAAACAGTGTGCTGTTATATTCAGGGAATTATTGCAAAATAACATCCCAGGGAGTGCAACAAAAAAAGTCACTCTGTACTTTTTCCAAGTTAAACAAATGATTAAGAATTAATGTTAATTTTATAAATAATTTCTGTTATAAAAATTCTGTACACGTTCAAGCTTTGGTGACAGATGTTTTTACATGAGATTCATGCTGTTAGCATTGTTTGGATTTTATTACCCATTCAGTTTTAGAACAAATTTTAGTAGTAGTAAATTAAGGTCGGTGGATAACGTTATTTGAAGAGAATTCCATGCTTTTCAACAAATTACACACCGTCATCTTAAATATGAATTTCAAAGTGGCTGTGGTTTTGAAAAAAACATACACTACCGTTCAAAAGTTTGGGGTCAGTACGTTTTTTTGTTTTTTTAAAGAATTTAATACCTTTTTTCAGCAAGGATATATTAAATTGTTCAAAAGTAACGGTAAAGACATTTATAATGTTACAAAAGATAGGCTGTTCTTTTAAATCATCATCAAAGAATCCTGAAAATCCTGATTATGTCACACATTTCCAAATATATTAAAACAGAAAACAGTTACTTTAAATTGTAATAATATTTTATAACATTTTTTTTTTTTGCTCTGTATGTTTGATCAAATGCAGGCTTGATGAAAAATCTTACCAAACCCAAATTTTTGAAAAATAGTTTATGTAGCTAACAAATAAGGACTAGAACCTTTATCATACACAGTATGAGTTTTATCAGAGTTTTGCACTTTTTTAGTACTTATTATCAATTTGTTAACAACGTTTTAAAAATCACCATTCACATTTGAGGTATGACTGTGTATAATTTATGTTGTAGATCAAATTAAAGTGCCCCTATTATGGATTTTTGAAAATTACCTTTCATGCAGTGTGTAACACAGCTCTACATGAATGAAAACATCCTGCCAAGTTTTAAATCTGAAAGTGCACCGTGTATAAAGTTATTGTCTCTCAAAAGAAAGAGTCGACTCTGAATCATTGAAAGGAGTCGTTTTTAAAACGAATCCCAAGCCCTTTCATGTTGACGTCAAAATGAAACATTAGCATATTGCCCGCCCACTTGGTCTTTTCGCGTTGGTTTGAATGAAAATGCAAATTCATTCTTTGCCACTAGGTGCCGCTGTTGGAGCGGTAAAATAGCTGTTTCCCCGGTAACGCTGTAAACAAAGCAGCACTGCGCTCACAAACGCTGCTTTATCAGGCATCACAGGCATGATGAAATGAAAATGAGACCAATCGGACCAATCACCGCAGATTAGCTTCATGCAAAGGGAGGGGTTTGGAAAAATGAATCCTTAAACGAATCGTTTGGGAGTCGATTCGATTTTTTACCAAGTAAGGTAAAAAATAAATGCATATTATAAGACAATGAAAGTGCTTTTTGACCTTGCATGCATGTCAACCTGTTGTAGTGGACTCCCAAAACCAAATTATGAACCTTTCATAACCCATAATAGGGGCACTTTAACATCAACTGCATATTTTACTTTACTCATAAGCCAAAAAAAACACACTACTCTAAAAATTCATAGGAAATGCTAATTCTCTTCCCGGGAAAAGAACTACAAAACAAAGCTTTATTCTTGAATCATTGTGTTGGAGGTCTTTTATTCTGGAATAATTTCCTGAATTATCTGCCATTTTATTTCTGAAGGTTTCTTTTCCAGCTCTGTACTGGCTCCTTTTATAGCAGTGTAAAAAACCAACATGTACCTGAAATTGTAGGAGATGAAAACAAGTCAAGTTTTGAACCATGTAATAATTTAAATGGATTATTCCCCCCCCAGAAGGCTTAGGCTTTTGACTGACGGACATCCTTCCACTCCAACTTGGTGTTTTGTAAAGCCTGTGTCTTCTTCTCGTCTACCTGCACGTAATCCACCCTGTACTCGTCTGCCAGCAGCGGTTTCTGAAAACATCAAAAACACAATACCAACAAACAATCAAAACACTAATCCACATGGCCACAATGCATCAATCCAGCAGGCAGATTTAGAGCTGAGGGGTTACAAAGCAACAGTAACTGGGACAGGAAATGCTGAGTCACTGTTATCACTGCCTGAGGATTCATTGTATAAAGCCACAGAAACGATTACTACAAGAGATAGCAGTACCCACTAAAACCCCACAAACACTCACCAAATGTTTGACAGATGCATGTAAGAAATTTGGTTCTTAAACAGTTCATGCTACCACTGACCTTCTGAACAGGTGAGGGGGAGGCAGAATTAAAGTCAAGTGACAAGTAATCCAGCTGAGAAGGCCTCATCCAGGGAGCAGAATCACAAGCTGGGAACAAGAGCCGAGACTCCTGAACAAAGGAAAACACACAAATATAACCAAAATATATATAATACTGACACACATTTTATGTTTTATTATTATTGTGTTGAGGCGTGGCTCCCTCAGTATTATTGATATAATTGTTGTGATATCTGATGTGATCGCTACGATTATTATAATGTATATATTATTATAATTATATATTATAATGTCTATACATGCATTTATACATAAATGCATCTGTTTATTAATATATATTTGTGACCCTGGACCACAAAACCAGTCTTAAGTCGCTGGGGTATATTTGTAGCAATAGCCAAAAATACATTGTATGGGTCAAAATTATTGATTTTTCTTTTATGCAAAAAATCATTAGGACATTAAGTAAAGATCATGTTCCATGAAGATATTTTGCAAATTTCCCACTGTAAATATATAAAAACTTCATTTTTGATTAGTAATATGCATTGCTAAGGACTTCATTTGGACAACTTTAAAGGTGATTTTCCTCAATATTTTGTTTTTTTTGCACCCTCAGATTCCAGATTTTCAAATAGTTGTATCTTGGCCAAATATTGTCCTATCCTAACAAACCATACATTAATGGAAAGCTTATTTATTCAGCTTTGAGATCTCAATTTCAGTTATTAACTGGTTAAAATTAACTGGTTTTGTGGTCCAGGGTCACATTTGTGTTCAAAACTGTTCAGACGTTTGGGGTCATAAGATTGTTTTTAATTATTATTTTTAAAAGTATCTTATGTTCACAAAAGCTGCATTTATTAAATAACAAAAGCAGTAAAACAGTATTGTGAATATTGGGAAATGTTACTATTATTTAAAATAACTGTTTTCTATTTTAATATATTTAAAAATGTAATTTATTCCTGTGATGGCAAAGCTGAATTTTCAGCAGCCATTAATCCTGTCTTCAGTGTCACATAAATCATTCAAATATGCTGATTTGGTGATCATTTACTATTATTATCATTGTTGTTGAAAACAATGCTGCTTAATATTGTTGTGGATTCATCGATGAATAAAAAGTACAAAAGAACAGCATTTATTTAAAATGGAAATCTTTTGTAACATTATAAATGTCTTCACTGTCACTTTTGATAAATTTAATACACCCTTGCTGAATAGAAGTATTATTTTCTTTCATAACGGAAAAGCTTTTGAATTATAGTGTTTATAATTGGAATTTAAAGGGTTCATATGATGCAATTTCAATTTTTCCTTTCTCTTTGGAGTGTTACAAGCTCTTGGTGCATAAAGAAGATCTGTAAAGTTGCAAAGACTAAAGTCTCAAATCCAAAGAGATATTCTTTATAAAAGTTAAGAGTCAGCCCAAAATAATGTTCTTTTTAGCAACATCATATTACCCCTTTAAACATAAACTAACATATATTTTGCACTGTTTGCTGAATTTTTCTGTTTTTTTTTTCCCCCTGAAACAATTTACATTGTAATTTTGAGATTTACTGTTTTGTTTTTGCCTTGTTTTGTCATTCTTTTGTTTTATTTTCTCCCTATGTTGCCCTCTTTGCTCTTTCTAAATTTCAAGGAGAAACAGAGCAATAAATTATTAAGGAGAGAAGACGGGTTAAAGGAAGTCACGTTACCGTTGGCGTGATGTTCCCTTCCTGTTCAGAGCCGTTTAAGCCCCATCCCCGCCGCCTGTCCAAAGGAACAGACTGAAGTGATGTGCTAGAGACAAACAAAACACAGCAACTTTCAAATACAGATATACAAATACAAAACAATATCTTGCATTTAACAAATAACATAACATCAGTGTGGCGTCCATAAACATCACAAACAAGTAAATGAGAAGACACTTGTGCAGAGAGGGTTGCAAATGCAGGAAATAGAGATCAAGTGTCAAAACAAACACTTTGTTTATCTTTGTTGAAGATGTAGGACACAGACAGAAGTGGTTGAGAAGAAGAACAGAGTTGCAGAGGATCAGTTTGGGGTCATTTTTGATGTGTAAATATGAGTTCGTCACAATTCTCACCTGGGTTCTGTCATGGTGCGTGTGAGGGGAACGTGGAAAGGACATTCAGAAATTGTGGACAGACCCCGCAGGTCTAAAGGAGGCGGTCGAGCTGTGAAAGCAAACACAATGCAGAACACTCAAACACTCCTTATCTTTTTCTCTCATGCACACCACACATTCAAACAAACACTTTCCCTTTTAATGAGGCATTTCCTTTGTGTGAAGGTGCATGACCTGTAGGAACCCTGCGCCTCCACTCAAGAAGACACAATGCTGTCTGAGATTCTTGTTCTGTGTCTCTGACAGTATCATGCACTTCCTCTTGTGCTTTTGTCTTGGCAAATTCTCAGTTGAAAAAGAATTTAAATTTAAATGCCACAAAGAATCTCTTAAAGAAGTATGCCCCTGTTCAGAATGAAATGTGTCTTGGAATGCCTGAGAAGTGACGTACTGTAATCTGGTGACTGTCTTATATTTATATCATATGAGAGAGTTTCGCAATACATCACATGAGCAAGAGTGCTGTTTTCCCCCGAATATCTGCACGACTGCAAATGTGATAGTGATTTTTTACAACAGTTCAGTAAACAAGACGTCAGTATTGTGTTATTTTAGACAAAATATTGTCAGTATTCTCTGTTTTTGCTCAATTTCACCAGTGAAAACCGTTCCAAACAAAGCCACAACAGAACTCTTCGACCTTTCTGAGCAAAAACATAGCGGTGTTTCGTTGCTAAAGTAATCCACCTTCATAAATGAATCGAGTGAACCAACGATTCTTCGTCTCCGAATGAATCAGTCGTTTGAACGAATCGGTTGAATGAATGACTGAATCATAGGACTGAATAACCACTATTACAGTGACTTGCCGCCACCTACTGGTGGATCTAGTTTCATATTTAGAGTATATAT